TCTCACATTGCAGCCTCTCAGAAAAGCCAGAACGTGTTTGAAGCCAAATTAAATGCGAACAGCAGCTATTCAGGAGTTTCCTGTGAACATCAGGAGATGTTCAAGCTCTCAGGCATAAAGGCTTGGACTAAGGCAAGGTGAATCTGATTCGTGGTTGGGGAACAAAATTCCCACAGCTCACTCACCACTCTCCTCCCACTGTCCTAAAATCTGGCCACTGAAATATCCCAATTTTATACAAACACGTCTCCCAAGATAAAGAGCAGTGAGTGCATTTGCATGACTAAACATTTCACTGCTTAATTTTCTGGGCAAGAATTCTCCAAATTTCCTCACCTGACAGGGATATTTAATTTAGAAGCTCACACTCCCAGTGGCAGTGAAGAGAGATAGAGCTCAGAGGAGAGTTGACTGATCAAGTGGGATGATTTTTTCCTCCAAAGTGCTTGTTTATCTCTGTGTAAAAGCACCAGTAGGATGTTCCTGGGGAAAGTGTGGGGCTGCAGGCTCCCCCCAAGGTGAGTGTCTTGCTCTGAGAGTGGGCACCTCATCTCCCCTTTGTGTGATAAGTCAGCAAGGCTTGTCTGGGCACATACATGTGCCAGTCCAAAACACGGGTTTTTTTTTTTTTGTTTTCCTCCAAGCTAGAGTTGCTCTCGGAACAGCATAAGGACTGCACTGGCTGCTCTGAAGCCTTGCTTGTCAGGATCAAAAACCTTGTTGTATTTCCCCCTGTATTCCACTCATTCCAGACTGGACTTGCCCTGTTTTCTGCAGCTTATGCATGGGTGGCACTGCAAGTCCTATTATACTCACAGACTGTGTGTTAACTGGCAAACTCTCTTAGGAAATTGCTCACGTGTCTTAGAGCACATTAAAAAACAAAACCCAACACAAATGTCTCAGCTGAGAACATATGTGCCCTCTTTCAACATATGCACCATCTTCCATTCATCCACACCTTCCCTCCCCAGATAAACAATCAGCTAATAAACTTCTATCATGTTGAGTTCTGGAGTGGAAATGCTGACAAGCCCTGAAGTGCAGTGATGTTAGTGGGTGATGCTGATATGATGAGAAGCAGGAGATTCAGTCATGCTCACTGCTAAAATACAAGGAGCTCCACTTTCTCTCCGGCTTGGAAAAACTTCTGTTTACAGATTGCTTTGCCCATGTATAGATTGAGCTGCTGCTGAGTTCAGCAGTCTCTGTCTCTTGCCACTTTGTCCACCTGCACATTAAGAAATCATCTCTGATGCTGTACTTACTTCTTCCTCAAACTTTTAGTTAACAAACCCAAATGCACCTGCCTTTAGCACAGCACTGCATTCCAGCCCAGCCTGCTTTTGGTTCCTGGAGAGAATGCTGGCAAAACCCCCTAAAGTTTTCAATGCCTGTCCCTCAGTGTCCAGTTTCGCCCTTGCCTGCTCTCTCCCTCTGCATTTGACTGACTTTTTAAAAATAATTTCTGTGGAGTTGTTTTTCTGATGGCTTCTGTTCCTGTGATTTATTTCTTATTCATCATGTCAGCATAAGACTGGTAGTAGTATCTTGTATGTGGATGTGTCTACTTGGGGATGAGAGTGTATATTAAGCTGAGGTGTGAACTTGTAGTGCATAAGCTCTTTTGGTGAAGGCTGCCTGTAGGTAGGAATTGTTATTAGAATTATTAACTTTAAGAGTATCATAATTTTTATACTAAAGAGATGTGTTTTCCTAGAAATGGCTGTTGAATATACAGAACGTATTCCCTGACAAGCTATAAATGCTTTAAGACAGGTCAAATTTTAGATCTAAATGACTTGACAGAGACCTATAATCCTCTGAGGGTTGAGAGGGTAATTTATTCATTGTGTCCATGCAGCCTTTAGCCTCTCTGCTGAGTCTGCATGTTATCAGAGCTTGTGTTGTAGGCAGTGGTCACACGGGCTGCTTTTCTTCAGTTTCCCAGCTGAAGCAAATGAGTGTTGATTACTGCTGGAAGTAGCATTATTAAACTTGTTGGCCTTGCACTGAAAGGCGCAGTGGTTTGTGCCTGGTTCCTCTGGCCGAGGTGCATTGTCCTGATGGGCTCCAGCATATCTTCTGTTTCTCTGTTTTACTCTTTAATCCCTTCTTTTCTGTCTCCCAGTTTCCTCACAATTCCTTGTGAAGTTGCCAAGGCTGAGCCCAAGGCTGCCCCAACACCAGCACTCCCCTGGAACGGTGCTTTTCCCTCCTCCTTCCCTCTCCCTCCCCAGTCCCTCCTCCTACTGCACTGGACCAGTTGTTTCTGCAGTGAGGGTGTGATCTGAGGTGAGCAGCTGATCTCATTAATAACTAGATTATTTTTTTTCCCTTTTTCAGGTTAGCTTTAATTAGTAGGGCTACTGGTTTATTGCACAGCTGTTTTTGAATTTGATTAGTGGAGCCACTGGTTTATTGCACAGCTGGTACAGTCACATCAGTTGGGGTGTCGCAGGAGGAGGATCCTGAGACCAGGAGATGGTTTTTCCCTTGGAGGAACTGTGAATTTATATTGGTGTGCCATGTTTGGTAAAACGTGGCCTATTCCCCTCACCTCCTGGAGAAGGCCATCATTATTAGGCTTTATCTTATTTTTTTCCACGTTTCCTTTTAAAGGCTTTAGTGCTTTAGGAAAAAAAAAAAAAAAAAAAAAAAGCAAGGGGAAAGCAGGAATAAAACGATACAGGGCTGGCTGCAGTCACAGTATCTACAGAGAAGCTGTGCAGAGAGCTACTTCTTCTTCCACATTGAGTGTTGTTAACATCCTCACCTCCTGCTCAGCTGGAATCCCCTGGAATGAGCTAAGCATCATTTTGCCCCTTCTCTGCCCCGTTCTTTTTCTCCATCATGCCTTTGCAGTTCACACAACTGCAGGCCAACCTTATTCTGGGGTGGGGGCTACAGCCCAGGTGATTTTGGAACATGGGAACTGGAACAAGGACTTCATTTTTCTTTCTTACTTGAACTCAGATCTCTCAGGGCTGCTGCTTAAACCTGCCACCAATCTCCTTGCCTTGTGCTCCACTCTTGCAGAAGGAAAGGTGGAAATGGCCTAAATGGAGAGGTAAAAAAATTGGGTGTGCTGCAGAACTGAAGAGCCAGAGCATCAGCTCTTGCTGACCACTCTGTCAGTTTTTGTACTCAGCTTCTTTGCAAAATGGCTTTTATCAGAAGAGAAGCTGTGGGCTGGAATAAATGTTCCAGGCAAAGGAGCTGGTTGATGGAGATGTGGAGTTGGTATTAAGTGCCTGTGATGTTTTGCACTCAATGGGAAATGTTTATTCTGATCCTTAAATACAACGAAGTTGTGGGAAAAGTTTACTGCACCTTCTCTCAGTCCCTTCTTGCCTTCCTTTTGAGCCCTTGGACCCTTTTTCTACATGCCCAGATCTGTCACAGCTCCCTATAGAGCTCCCGTGGCTGGAGTATCCCAGTGCTTTCCACCACCACAGCAGAAAACAACATTCAAAATGTCTCTCTTTCTCCTGTCACTGTTCCTGGGAGTAGTTCAGAAACTAGTTCAGACACAACTGCAGACTGGGAGCTAAATTTTGCAGATAATTCCCATTTTATCTGTGTGTTGTATAATCATCTCTGTGTTGATGTGTGAAGGCAGAGGCAGAGTTGCTGTGCAGTGTGTCCTTGCCTTCTCCTTAGCCATTGTGTTCCCCTCCTGTTGTTGGTTTGAAGTGGGCCCAGTCCCCTCTTTCTCTCTTCTAAGTTCCATTTTATTTACTGCCTTTGGCACAATCTGCATTATTTATTGCTCATCACTCTCTCTTTGGCCTCTGGAATAATGGTTGTATAGTATCTTAGTTTCAAGGATCTACACAGTGCTTCATTAACAGCTCTTTTGTCTCTTTTTAATCTTCTTTCCCAGCACTGCTGCTGTGTACCTTTCTTTCCCTTTAAGCATTATCTTATCATTTGCAATTCCATTAAGTTACAGCGAAAGCATATCATTCCCTTGTTTCTTAAATTTACACAATATTTTCAACATCTGCTAATATATTTGTACAGTTCAGTCATTCTAAATAGTTTTTTTCGTGCATTCTCTGAAGTCTCATTAAAAGAAAAATATTACATGCTGTATCCCCCTCTTGTTATGACTGATCAATTATCTGTACCTAGTCAAGTGGTATTACTTGGGATTCTCACACTGTCTTAGTTGGCTGTTGATTTTTCACACGTGTGTACTCACAGAGCATTCTCTGTCAGACTGGGGGGGATTAGGGAGGGGAGCGTAATTTTTTTTATCTGCCTAAACCACCCATGTCCCTGGAGGAACCAGACCATTATATGTCCCCATATAAAAGTAAAGCACTGAAGAGTGCTCTGAGCCCATGACAGAGGGCTTGGGATCCCTACTTTGCAGTATCCCCTACTTCTGTAAGAGGTGATATTTTGTCAGGGGGTGTTCATTCAGCCAGGTTTTGAACATCACCTTGTGTTTTTTGATAGGATATTGTTTGATAATCTACCTCTCTGAACACTCCCTTCTGGAAAGGCAGAAATCTGCCCTCCCTGTACCGTTTCTGCCTCTAGTGCTGTGTCAGCCAAGCTGCCTGTCCCTTCAGCTGGATAAGCAGGGCAGTGGGACTATTCACATTCCTGTTTGGGATACTCCCCAGGGCAAATGAAGTGGTGCAACTGAAGGCAAAATGAAGTGAGGAGTGAAGGTGCTCTTTCAATGGCTAAAGTTTTGTGTTTGTGATGTGCCAGGGTTCGGTTTCCAATTTTCACTTGGTACACCGTGTGAGTGTGTTTCTGACTTCAGGTTTGGCACTCAACGTTGCTCCCTCTGGAGGGAATTTCTATGAATGTTGCAGAGATGCTCTGGGATCCTGGGAAGGGATCATGGAGACTGTCATCCTCTACAGATCAACGTGTATTCAAAAGGAGGAAGCCTTGAGATGGAAGTCCATTGTCAACTCATCCTTCTAATTTCCTTCTGCAAAGCACTTGCACAATTGTTTATAATTCTCACTCCGTAATTTATAATAAATAGTTTTGTGTTAGGATGCAGGAGGAGAATCTCTCAGATGTTTTCCTCTTCGACCCCTTTCTGTCCATTGACACTGGAGCTCCAAAACAACTGTTATGAGAAATTTGACCCTCTGTGTGTCCCTTCTCCCGTTCCTTCCAGCTTTTTGGAACACCTTTGTTCTTCAGACTTGTAGCTCCTCTTCCCAGAGGTGCAGTTATCAGTTGTGTGTTTGTTTGACTCTGGCTTTGCTACATTTCTGGCTCTGTAGATTGCTTTTTATGCAACCTGTGGAAAGGAAAGTACACCTTTGTGCCCTCCACTTAGTTCCTTCTGTGGCCTGGCACACACAGGCTCAAAAAAATACTTGGAGCTGTGAAGTCTCACCTTCATCTCCACAAGGGTTCCTTTGGAGGGCATGAGAAAATATCACCAGGAACCATTAGATAAACAGGGCACCTACCTTTGATTTGACAGCCATAATCCTGTGGGATTGAGATAAAATCATGTGATTTAGCTTGGCTTTAATAACAAATAAACAGCATTTAGTGGATGCTAGCAAGTTCATTTTCACAATAGCTCTGTGAGGGAGATATTATCAAGTTGGGAAGATAAGGCAAAGGGATTTATGCAGATCTGGGAAGGCAGCTCTGGTCACACCTCAGGCCTGATGCGCTCAGGCATCAGCAGACACAGAGGCTGGGGTGGAAGGACCCTGCTCGTGGCCAAGCCCGAGGGTTCTTCATGAGTAAAGGGTGCTAATAGCAGATGGGTTTGGTAAAAAAACTTGTTCGTAACGTTGTCTTCCACTGAACTAAACAGACTGTTTGGGTTCTGTGACAAAATCCTGAGTTCCATTGCATTCCTGTACTGCCATTCCCTTGCCCAAAGGAGCAGGATCCCTGGGTGCAGGGCTGGCTGTGCCTCTGGCCACTGCTGCCCTTGGCAGATGCCCACGATTTGGAATGAGGAGTTCAGATGCAGGCACTCAGTTTGGGCTTTTTATTCCCCCTTCTGCTTTGTTTGCTTTCACCAAAACTGTGCTTGGGAGTGATGGAAAATGGAAAAGTTTGCTCGGAGCGGTTCCCTGACTCCCATGGAAACGTGCCTGCCGTTGGAAAGCAGTAATCACTTCAGAGGAACACAATCATCCTAAAAGCTCCTGCTGTTGGGATGAAACCTGCATATATGAAATTGCTGGGGAAATGTCTACACCAGGTCTGGAGAGGAGGCAGGGAGTTTTTTTCCTTTCTTTGCAACTTATCTAGAATTTCTGATGGGAATACTTCACAACTGCAGCTCTGCCTTCCCTTGAGGGAAATGCAACCATTTAACTTCTTTCTTCTCTCTGTGTATACCGAGGAACTGATGGTTTGGTCCCATGGGAAGTCTGTATCTGTTCACAGTTACATTTGTTCATTTCAGGAGGATTCTGTGTTATCTGGGGAAAAGAGCGGGAGGGGGAAAGGATTTGGTTTGGTTTATTGTACTGCTGGTCCTTCCTGCCACACCAAGGGAGATGTGCATTCCCAAATTTGATTTTAAGCTGGGGTGAAGGAGGGAGAAATCAAAGGAATGATTTTCAGGTCGGGGTGGGGGTTGGGGCTGGTAGGAGGAAGGGGTGGGGGGAGGGAATGTGAATCAGGAGGTGGCAGCGTTGGAACTGGAGACAATAAATTACTCTAATTTATTGTTAGTTTTTCTGATTGCATGCAATTGCATCTCTTTTTTGCCTTGCTTGGTCGCAGGAAGCAGTGCATTTTTAGGCAAAAGTGAGAAGCCCCTGAGTTCACACTGACACACAGGATGCAAACTTTAATGACAGTCATGAAGAGCAAAAGAAAATAGTGAGGCAGAGTACTGAAAACAAAGGGAGGCAGGACAGCAAGCAGTGTGAGCTTTGATGCCGTTAGAAAGGGTCTGGATCCCGTGATTTATCTAAAAATGACAAGATGCCCCTCTAAAAATGCAAATGCCTGCCCTGCATCTTGTAGCTGTAATGAATGAGTTTCACACAATGGAAACATTCAACTTGTTCTAGGGCACTGACTGGGGGCTCCATATGCTGAGCTGCGTGTTCCTGGCCTTTAATCACTCTGCCTTTGTTTTCTCCAAACTTAAATTAGAAGCGTATTAGTGTTTATATGGTGTACACCCGGGGGTTGGGTGTGTGTGTGTGTGTTTGTTTGTAGAGAGTTGTTTTTGTTTTTCGCCAGCAAATAAGCCAGATGAATGCAGCCCTCCCGAATTCATGGGACGTGGCAAATCCTGGGAAACTGCAGTTGGCAGCAGCAGAAGGATGTGAATTTTGAGCTGGTAGTGGCAAGTAGGACCCCGGCTTTGGGGCTGGGGGAGAACCCGTGTTGCACAGCGGGGAGCCATTTAAACCCTCCCCTGACCTGCCGAGGGGATGCCTGTGTGCTTTCTGCTTTATTCGCAGGGAGACCAAGCCGAAGTTTTCCTCTGTGGCAAATTTTGGGTTTAAAAGAAGCGTTTCGGAGCAGAAGGCTGTCATTACTGGGGGCTTTAGCACGGGCTGCATCTCCCCATTAGCAGTTTATTGTGCTGGTTTTTTTTTTTTTCCTTGAGATTAAGGGAGAGAATAGAGATCCATCCATCAAATAAAATAGGAAACCAACTACTCTTTGCATGGAGATTTTTCCAGGAGGGGTTTATCCCACACACAAGATATTTAATCTTCTGGGTGCAGATATGCAGCGTGTGTGCGAGTGGGCATGCATGTAACTCTGCTGCAAGTTTTAAAAGCTCTGTTTCTGGCAGAAAAGTGGGCTAATTAATAGGAGTAGGAGACAAAATGCCAGCTTGTAGATTTATTTTCCCTGCAGAAATCGCCCCCCCCTTACTCTGCTCCTTCTTGATCTGATGTAACAAGAAGAGAGAGTCAGCTGTGAATCAAGCGCCTTGTTCTCATTTCCTTGATCATTGACATGGTTTGAGAGAGAGAAAGGAGGAGGGATTATTTGTGAGGTTATTAAAAAAACCCCAACCCTAGCTCCCCCTCCTCCTCTCCTCCAAGATGCACAGGCACTTCCAGAATGTTCCATAATATCAATCTGACTTTTCTCGCTGAATATCGGCCTCTTTCCCCACTACTCTGTTTCAGTTTAAAAGTGCTGTTTACACGTCACTAAGCAGCTAATTCCAAGCTTTGACGACGACGGATTGCCAGTTAGCAGTGCAGTTGAAAACATTGGGTTTTGCAGTCAGCAAGCTGTTTAATGGGCTCAGAAATTAAAGGCTAATTGCACTTGAGTGAATATGTGCATTTCTGAGCCCACTGTTACCATTGTTGGGGTATTTATCAGTTGGGAAAATTGTCTCTTTACGTAAATCTGCTAATTCTTCCTCGCTGCCCTGTCCTGAAGAGCAGGCCACATCGGGAGTTTAACTTGAATCGTTGCCTCTCCTCGCGTTTCTGCGCGATGGTTTTGCCTGCAGGATCGTACAAGTTTGTTCACGTAACATTCAGGTTGTGTACCATCCCCCCGCGAAAGAAAATGGCACGTCGATATTCTCGTTAGGATATCAAGGAGATAAGGAACTCGATTGTCTTTGGAGGAACACAAAGGTAGAATTGGAAGCGGAAAAAGTTTAGCTCTTGTGTGCTGCAGTACGCTCCTGCAATAGATAAAATTGCTGGTGTGCAGAAGAGCTTGTGAATGCTTCTAAATCAGATTTTTAGTACCAATAATCCTAATGGAAGCCTTTTCTGGCGAATGTGGTTGGTCAGAAAATCCGAAGCCGTTGCACCTTACAATAGAGAGACTGTTCCGATATTTCCTGGCGTTTGCTTCCCTTCTAATTAATGTCATACACAGAAGGGGTAATCATTCAGCCATCTTTCCAGCTTAAAACGAGTGAAAGATCCAAAAACAATTACCCACCGTAATTAATTTGAGAGGGGATCTTGCGGGGTATGTTGGGGGTGGGTGGGTGGGATGGGGGTGTTGTGTGTTGTTCCCCTCTTCTGTTCCAGGCAGTGTTTGTCATTCTTTGGCAGGAACGACTAATTTATTGTCTGACTCTCCAATCTGGATTCATAACGGGTAGCTTTCAATCCCTCCCCCGCCGCCAAAACTCTTCTGATGTGCTGTGTGTTTGTTTGGGAGGGGAAAGAGAAGGGGGGGGGAAGGGAGAAGGTTATATGTTTCTGACCTGCTTTACTGCTTTTCAACTGCAAGTAAATTAATGCACACACTAGATTCCCCTCTGCTGTGCTGATTGGATCCTTGTGCCGATTAAATATTTCACACTGATAGAGGGATGCTGAAAGCACTCAGCTGGTAATGCAGTATGTACATCAGTGATACAATAACTGACTTTCAGGTTAAAGTCAAACAAAACCCCCAGTTTGCTGCAGTTTTGATTAGAATGAGTTTCACTTTGAATTTAAATCCTCGAGCCTGCTGCAGCGATGGCTAATTAACTGAGATCTGATAGAGGCAAAGGAATACATTCTTACTTCTAATGACAGGCAGGCAGGAAGTTGTCAAAAAAAAAGAAAAAGAAAGAGAAAGGAGAAGAAACCAACAGACAAAAGAAGCTTTAAAAAAATACTGATGCTGAGATTGTACTTCAGCACACGTAAACCTCCCTGCCCGTGTTCCACACGCAGCCTCCTTTGGCTGAAAGTCCGCCCCTGGAAGGGCTGTTTCCATTGAGTCCCAGATTTTCTTCAGCTTTTTTTTTTTTTTTTTTTTTTTAAATCCTCCTAAAAAAAACTAACACCCTAGTCCCACCTAGTCGGGCACTCTCTACCTCCTTGTTTATCAGTCGTGCTTTTGGGGGCTTCCTTTAGGAAAGGGCAGGGCGACAGGAGCAGCCGGACTGGGGAGGAGGAGGAGGAGGAAGGCTGCCTGCCCCCGGGTACCGCACATCACCCCGCGCCGCGGTGACCTCTCCCTGGGGGTCATTAAAATACTTCTGTCGAGCAATTTCTCCTCCCTCCCCTCCTTTCTCCCCATCCCTGCCCCCCGCCCCGGCTTGGGCATCGCAGGGAGAGCGCTTGCATCAAACTGACAGGTCATTTACCGAGCGATTGGCAGGGGGGGCTGCCCTAGCCTTCCTTAAAACGCTCCTTCTCCTCCTCCTCCTCCTCCTCGGTTGCACGTCTCAAACACCATTAGGTCGAAAACAGTGTTTCTGGAAACAGTGCATAGAACTTTTCCATGCGTGGTCTTTGTCCTTGCTCCTACGAGAACCTGATTTAACGTTCTCCCCAAGGGCTCGGAGCAAAAGGAAGCATTGTTTATGGGAGCCCAGGGATAAAACACAGACTGTGGAGCCTTTTGCCTCCGTGAACATCCACCAAACTCCTCTGGGTGCCTCCGTGTGTGTGTGTGCTCAGCTGAAGCCCTGCTCGCTTCTCTTTCAGTGTGGAAAGTTATGCAGGTGGTTGGCTCGTGACTTAAGGTGCAGCTCAGGCAGGTTCAGCCATGTAGATGGGATATATATATGGAAATTCATAGGGCTGGACCAAAATCCTGAGACACCGAAGTGCCACAGCCTGTCCGCAGTGCATTTGTGTGTTGTCACTCTCTGAATATTAAATATTGTGACAATTAGGTGAATGAGCAGAGGCCATGGCCCTCATTGCTGGAGAAGTCTGTTCAGCTGGTTTGCATGCAGGGCTTCAGATTAGTGCTGAATGTTAAATTATTAATTGACAAGCCATCATTTTGGTTTGAAAGTGGATGGCCAGTGTTCTGCGAGCTAAATAAACTCTCAGGGTTATTCTAAATAAACTCTCAGGGTTATGCCAAATGTTTTCTCACAGCCATGGAGCCACTGAGGAAAAGAACTGATATAGCTCTGAAAACAATTGCAGTTTTTCACAACGAAACTGCTTTGTCAGGGTGTCACTCTAGAAAGATTAATGGGCTGAAGTCTCTATCATAGCACATAGCTGTTAAAATATAAATGTGACAGACAGTGAATTTTAGGTTCTTTTTAAACAGGTCCCATTTTTTATTGGGAAAATGTGAAGGTTTGGTGAGAGGCACGTGCCTGTTTTAAATCCCTGCTGTGGTGGAGAGCAGCCAGGAGCCTGGAATAACTCCCTTGCAGAGTATGGCCGTGTTCCTGTTTGTGATGTATGTGTGAAGGAAAGTTGACATCAGATCAGTAAAGGTTGGGAGATGTGCTGTAAGCTGCAGGAGAGTGAAAATGAAGAAGCCAAACCCTCACAGTAGACGAGATGCTGTCTGTGAAGAGTCTGGCCGGAGCCTCTGTGTGTCCTATTGCACAGCCGCCTGCAAATCCTTCCTTCCCACTGCTCTTTCCATCTCTTTATGCCCCAAACAGAATGATTTGTGGTATGTGATAGCAGAAATAGCATTTGAGTAACCAAATTTGGGGCTTAAACTGTTGCACGGCTGCCTTGTCACCTGCAAACCTTCCCAGCGCAGGCCTGGATAGGCAGGAGGGGCAGGGAGGGGGTTTACACACACAAATGAATGGAAAGGCCAGAGGTATTTTGGTACATATGGAAAAAAATATTAGCTCTGCTTTGAGTAGTTGAGCCCGTGCCACGGACAAGCTGGGAAGTCATAAACAAGTGGCAGCTTTCCAGCACGTTGTGGTGTGTTTGCGTGTGACTGGCATACATATTCCAAACTCCGGATTGCCTGTGGCATCCTGCGGTGAAAATGAAAGTTGTGTTGCTATTGAAAAGGCGCTGCTTCAAAATTGGTGTATTGTGAAGGCTATTATGCTGAGGATGAGAAGCAGAGACCTGCTTTCCAGCATTTAAAGCCAATATTTTTTTTTTCCCTTCTTTCCCCCCCCTTCTCTTTTGGCTCCTCCATTGTATCAGCACATGTTTTCTGCTGCAGTGTCCAAAGCTTGCTTAGTGTCTTATTGTTCATCATTCCAAAAGTGTCAGAGGATATGTTATGCTGACTGATTCTCAAAATGCAGATTTTCTTTCTCTTTAAAAAACAAGACTATTCTTTTAATTAATCTGGCAGAAATAGAATGCAGCAGATGCAGGTTTTGTTGAGGATTTTTTTTTAATCTCTCATATCATAATCTTTGTTTCTGCCAACACTCCTTTATCAATGTCTTCTCAACATTATAAAGTAAAAATAGTTGTTACAAAGAAAAACCACATAATAGCTCATCTCTTAACTAACATAATTTGACTAAGGGGGATATTTTTAAAGTTTTGGTAGGTACATTTTAGAAAATTATTAAATGAGACACAGAAGAGATGCTGTTGCTGCTTTTCCCCAAACAGACAGTTTCTGTAACTCTCTTTTGGAAGCTGATCTTGAGCACCTGATCCTTTGTACAAGCTTCCATATTTAGTTTCTAAAATTTGCAGTTATTGAAATAAATTTAGCATAACATTGTTCCCTTGGCAGGCCACAGATGTGGCCCGATTGGTCCTTGCGAACCCATCCCAGGGACACAATGTTTTCCCTGTATATGCTTAGAAAAGCCACAAAACCTGAATTAAAATGAAAGTTTCCCATTAGGAGATGAATGTTCAGTTTTACAAGCGTTTCACATTTATCCCAGCTTAGACTGAAAGCAGCAAGTAGCCCTTATTTCCTCAGCTCTTTTGGTTGCATAGACGTGAACAGGCAGGGCTGTCAGACTGTTAGGAAAATGTTAACATTCATCACATGCAAAGACACACAGAACAGACTCAGGTAGGGAGAGCAGTGGGAATGGGATGGAGGGTAGTTGGAGTAGTGAATTTGTTTGTTTACAGAACTTCTGCTTTTGTATGTACAATCCCCTCCTTTGAAACAGGACAAAAAGCAATTAGTTGCTATTGAATTTTGTCAGGGAGGTCAGAATTTACTCCTACTTAATTTACTTGGGTTTTCCACTGAGCTACCCAGGACTGTCTGTCTTTTGGGATCAGGAAGTTTTATTTGCTTAGATGTTTTCCATTGCTGAACTGCCTTGAGAGCAAAATAAAGCTACACTAATGCCACAAGATATTCCTTATTAGGAATTTATGTGAAAATAGGGAATCAGTACAGTTCAGGGATTAATAAGGTGCCGTGCAAGGAAATGTTTCACAAAGCAGGAGGGGTGGTGTTCAGCTCTCCCACATGCTGTCCCAGTCCTGTTTGGCCCCTGCAGCATCACTGGGGCATGGAATAAGTGCAAGGAACACCAGTGGAAAACTGTGCTACAACGAAACAGAGAAATAGAGTTTTATAGAATTTTGTCATAAACAACTTTTCCCACCTACGTGAAACGTTCCTGAGCTTCCACTTGAGCAGTTTTAAACTAACAGACAGTATTTCTGTGCTCAGAGAAAAGTTCTTTTGTCTTCAAAACGCTTATGATACACAAGAGCATAGTTTAAGGAGAATATTGCCTGTGCTTCCTTAGGATGACTGTTAGGACAGCAGAGGATGAAAGGTAAAGGCAAAAATGGACAAAGCTTAAAACAATTTATACGAGGTCACAAATACTAGAATAATGCTGACATTAGAATCATGGAAGCACAGAATCATTCAGGTTGGAAAAGACCTCCAAAAAAAAAGTAATTTCTGTCTATCAAAACCTGAAGCAAGTATCTCTGGCAAAGCACAATTGGTGTTTATATGAAACACCAAAACCACAGTTCCTGGAGCAAACATATTTGTCCACTAGGGCTTTACAGCCTTTGAGTGTGTAATGGGTTTAAAGGTAAGAAGGGATGTTATTTTCCTGGAAGTCGGTTAGTTTTGTATTACAAGGCTTGTACTCTCTTGCTCAGAAGTAAGATTTTCAGCTTTGATTCTGGAAAGAACTAACTATATCTGTGACTTTATATATACACACACACAAATGTATATATACACTGCATTGTAAACAAGCAAAGTGGACAACAAAACTCTGGCTGACTTTAATAGCAGAGCACAGCAGTTTCCCAGGGCTGTACATTAGATGTGATTGCACTGGAGCCCAGAGGTACAGTCAGTTAAACAGAGGCAGAAATCTTTGCAGGATTAAGTACCTTAGATGTCAACTCTTGTAAAAATGAGATGTTTAATAATTAAAGGTATCAAAAGAGGCTTGAACCGGCATTTCCCCCCCTCCCCCCATATATAACTAACTTGCTTAAATGGCATTAATAAGAAAACCTCCTGAGATTAATATTTAAAGTGCATCGACTTTATGAAAGTTTTTTCTTTCCTTTTCAGAAGTGAGCATTTTATGCAGACATTGGTATTTATGAAAGGGCAACTTCACAGTGCCTACAGAAATCTCAAAACCAAGTGAGATGATATAATAAGGTCATAGTCAGTGTGCTACTATTACAGATGACAGAATAGCCACTCTGAAGCAATGTAAAAGAGGAACTGTTAAGAAAACCAGGGAACTGCGAGTTAAAACGGTGCTATGGAAAAAAGATAGCTTGGATGAGGATAATAATAGTACTAACGATGATGATAACGATAATAATAATAATACCATCACATTGTAAAGAAACCCACCAAAAATAGTAGAAGTCTGTGAGAGAGAAAGAAAAATTAAAGGGAAAGCAACAAACCGACTCCAGAGTCAGTCAAGGTGAGGGAACACACGAAGTCGCCAAGCGCTTGGGATGCGGCGGGCACGTGGAACGGATTCTCAGGCCAATGGAAGAGAAAGTTGAAAATAACATTCTTTAAGCCTCTTATTACTAATTGAAACTGCCTTATTATCTAGACCTATGCCATGGTCATTTATAGCAGGATTGGGGTATAAACCAAAGGGGAAAAAATAAAACCAAAGGGGAAAAAAAAAGTACTTTGGAAGCCCCGAGTGCCCCCGCGAGTCCCCGAGCGCCGAGGGGGAGCCCAGCCCCTTCCCCTGCCGAGAAGAAAACCGTAAAACCAACCAAAGCCAAAGGGGAATAACCCCAAATCCGTGCTGCGGGGGGCCGGGGGGCCGGGTCCGGTGCAGCCTGCGGTGACGATGCCGCTTTTCTCTCTCTCTCTCTCTCCCTTGTGTCTCTCCCGGCAGAAGCTGGCGGTGCTGGTGGGCAGCGGCTCCAGCGGCAGCGCCAAGCCCGGCGTGGTCCCGGCGCTCCTGAAGGCTCCGGGCGGCGGCAGCCCCGGCGGCAGCCCCGGGCACAGCCTGCCCATCGCCGGGCACAGCCTGCCCGTGCCCGCGCTGCCCGCCCGGGCGCCCATCGCCGTGGTCACGGCCACCCTGCACGGCTCCATGGGCGCGGAGCCCCCGCGGAGCGCGCCCCTCAACCTGCAGGGCACGGGCAGGGCCGGGGGCACCCGCCGCGCCCCCGACAGCGGCTCCGGCGCTCAGGTACGGCCGGCTCGGCAGGGTGCGTGGGTCGGGGCCGGGAGGGAGGGAGAGAGGGAGGGATGGATGGATGGAGGGATGGATGGATGGATTGGGGCCGGGCGGGCGGGGGGCGGCGCTGCGGGGGGCGGGAGGGGGCGGCCGCTGGGCGGGGGATGTGGGGGGGCTCCGGGGCCAGGGGAGGTGCCAGCGGGGGCGTGGGGGACTCGCACCACCCTCCCTGTGCCCCCGGCATGTGGAGGTACGAGAAGACTTTCCTTTCCATCCCAATTCCCTCGGGGTGCCGGGGGAGACTGGCCCTTCCATCCTAATGCTTTCGAGGGGCGAGGGGACACGTTCCTCTCCCTCCCAGAGCCCTCGGGGCGCGGGGCTCGGCTCACGCCCTGGAAAGGCAGGGCTTTTTCCTCCAGTGACGCTGAGCGCAGGGGAATTGGCCATCTCTTGTTGCTCGCCCCCAGGTGCCCACCTTCTGTCCTCAAAACCCCCGAGGTTTATGCAAAGATGCGCTTGCGGGGTGCGGGGGCTCCTGGCGGTGCTGGCGTGGTGAGGTGCCGGCACCTCAGGCAGAGGGGAGCTGGCAGGCTGTTTTATGTTCACGGTAGTCTTAATATGAAGTAAGTGCACTGACCCATTAAAGGAGGGCGAAAGGGGAAGGGGTGCTGTTTGTTTGCTGCACACCACGTTATGTGCAGTCCACGAACAGCCGCGAAAGAGAAGACTTTACTCCAGTCGCGGTGTGCCAGGAGAGGGAGATGATGCTGATGAAGTTGAAGTGTGAAGAAAATGGCCAAGCCTTCCCAGAACTTTGGAGAAGAGGATGTAAAGTATTATTGCTCATATTGGCAATGTGGATTTCTTTTCTGCTTTCTGCACATAGTGGTTGTGGTAGCCTGTTTTTTTCCCCTCTGATTCCCCTTCACAAGCTCAGGATATGAGTCTCTAATAATCAGGAAAGGACACAGTATGGATAAGGGCAACAGGCAAACTGTACCTGAAGACGTTTGTAAGTCAAGGTTATGTTGGAATGCATGAGGCTTTTTAATACCCAGGAAGTCTCTTCCTAAACACTGGACAGGGCATAACCATCACCTGCTGCATCCACTAATAAATGGAAAGCACATCCAAGCACTCTGGGAATCAAATTGTCCTGTCACTTTTTCTGGAGAGACAGAACTATCTTTAGCTGTTACACTGGGGTAGCCATGTGGGGAATTCGATTTTGAATATCCATTCTGTATTTGTGCTGGGTAATTTCCTTTGTTAAAGGTGTTGTTTATGCTTTATTGAAAAGATACTTGTTGCTATCCCAGTAGATATTTCTTAGAATCACGGAAAATGACTGTATAAAGGATAATCCTATGAAAGATAAAAGTTTCAATATTACAATGGTCTATCATTTTGTGAAGGACTATCTTTTACTGTCACCAGCAGGAGCCGTAGGAAGAAAAGAATCAAAACAGTGAAGGAAGAAGCTTGAAATAACATTTAATGTATTTAGGCTGAATAGTGAAGCAACAGCAACAGGTGCTGGAGAGCAGTGTGGGTTAGAACAGTTGGCTGCAACTTTTAACTTCTGCAGGTGTTGTGAGAGGAAAAGACTTTCAAACCTGCCATGCTGTTGAATTATCTGTGATGCTTCCCTCTTATCTTTTCTAAAGGGGCAAACATTCCCACTTTCCACACCCCCAGGTGTGCTGGGGGCAGTAGTGTTTTGCAGCCAGCTGGACCCAAGCTCTGGTGCTCCTATGCGTTTTTATTTTATTTTCTATGTATTTTATTTTACATTTATTTATTTATGTATTTAATATTTATTGTTTTCTCCATGCTGAAACTCCATGAGTTTTTGCCTCAACATCGCAACTTTTCTTGCAGAGAGCAGCTTCATTTTAAGCAGAGACTTGCTGTTACTGGAATAGCATGGGAATGTTGGCCAGCATTTGGGGTTTGCCTTGGTTTTGCTACGGGAAGTGGTCCAGCATTTTTCTTTAGAAATGTCTTCACCTTGGAAGTTTACAGCAACTGTAGTTTTGTGATTTGGTATCTCTGGTTATTTGTAATTTATGGTGGAAGCAGCTGAGCAATGGTATGTTTCTAAAGGAAGAAGAAGCTGAGCAATGGCAAGTTCTTGAAGCAGAGGACTATAGTGCTTTCACCTTTTGAGAATAGGCAGCAAGGATGGATAGAAACAATTAGAAATATTGAATTATGAAAGTGAAAAAATGCAAGCTGACCTTTGGTTCTAAACTGTCAGGAAGCTTCGTGCTGGATTGCATGTTAATTATCACTCCTCTACCCAAATTAAATTTGTTTTGCAAGGTTTCTTTTTCTGGCTCAATGGAGGAAAAATCTATTCTTGCTTTATGCTCAGTATTCTTGATTGTTCCTGGAGTGGTGATCACAAATCAATAATAGTAACACCTTAGCTACTAGCACTGTAGCGTCAGAGGGAAATTTTATTGCTGATGTTTATCAATAAGCATTTACTATCTCTTTTTTTTTTTTTTTTGGTGGCATTGTTACAGCTCAGTAAAGTTCTGTTTTTGTTTTTGGTTTTTTTTTTTCTTACTGAAATGTATGAAGTTTGTGAGATGGAAGATGATGACAGCTTTCTGCAAACTGGGTTAAGGTGGCAAGCTGATGGTAGTAAATGAGATTACTGGTGTAGTGTAGCCTATTTCTCTCATCTGCAAAGTGAGGGGAAGGGCAGGGGCATGAAATGTAATGTTATGAGTTTCTGAACAGTAGCTTCTGCTCAAAAGCATGTGGAGGATCAGGATGTGTATACAGTCATCTCAAGTGGTATCTAGCAGGAAGAATGAAATGCTAAATGAAACTCAGCAGAAAAAAATAGGGCATCAAACACTACAATCTAAATACAGGACTTTCAGATATAGATAGGATTAAATGTAAGTTTGTTACAAAATTTTCATTTGGGCAGCTGCGTGTCAGCACTCTCATTTTTAGGCTGTTGTTTACCCAGCAGATTTTTAAAGTGATTTTGAAATGTTGTCGACTGTAATGGAAGCCATCTCTGCGCTGGAAAAAGTATCTAAGTAAATAAATACATAACAGATACTAAAGGATTGTTTGGATATCTACCACATGATTTATTAGAAGCAGGAAACGTGATATGAAAAAGGATTGAAAGGTGGAAGCAGAGGAAATGGGGAGCTGCAGGAGTGAGTGCTGGGTCTACACTGTTCCCTGGCAGCCTTTCAGTGCCAGTCCCGTGTGTGAGGACATGACTGATGGAGCTGCACTGCTGAGAGGGTCCATGCAGGGATGTCATGAGCACAGCTCTTGCTCCCCGCTTAGAGAAATGGAGCTCAGAGCTTCAATTTGGATGATCTGGAGCAAGTTATGTTGGCAGAAGCAGATTTTTGCTGGCATAAGCTGAATTTTGCTGGCATATGCTGTATACACACTAGGAGTGCTTTGCCTTCAGAGAATTGCTGTTGCTGTTCTGTAGAGAGAATGCCCTGGAGCTCCTGGGTAGTCATAGGATATCAGCATGGCTGTACCTACATCGTACTTTGGTATAAAGAGATTTGAATGTAAAACCTCTCAAATTATACTTTTATTGTAACGATATTTATGTGGTATTTGCCCTTTCCTCTCCTTGCCACCATTTCCTGACTGAAAGCAGGATCTGAGGTTGCTCTGCTGAAGGACAAAGTCCCATCTGCTGTGCTGAAACAACGTACCGCGTAAAGAAAATGCCCCTCTGCTGCCTTCTCATTCTCTTTTAAATAGCAAAACCGTGGGCCAGCAGGCATCCCAGAGCCTAGTTTGGGGAAAGCAGGAAGCCTTTGGGCCGTTTGGAAGGCAGTTGGATCGGGAGAACAGGCAGAGAGGGGGAACACAGCTGTCAGCCCCCTCGGCTGGCTCCCAGGAGCTGCCGTGAAGGACAAAAGCATTGGGAGGGCACTGGAGCACCACAACACACACACACACACAACTCCCTGTCCACCAGGACTCCACAGACAGCACAGATCCTGCCTCCTGCTCCTCTCTGGGCTTCCTTTCCCACACCTGTGTTCCCCGGGTCAGCTGCGGGAAAGTTTGGCAGGCGTCCCCCTGCCCGTGTGCCGCTGCGTCGCGGGGCTTGTCTGTGCGGGGAGGTTATTTCAAAGCAAAATACAGTATGAGGATTTATAGTGCTATAAATTCTTGGCAAGATAGCAAACTGTTCTCCACAAATGCTTCATTAACTCCACATCTCACAGAACTACTTGTGTCCGTGTTTAAATTGAGCAGGCTACTCAATTTTATTTTTTTTTTCCTCCCCAGGAAAAGGTGGTTTTTATATGTGTGGGAGGATGCTCATATATACTTCTTAGCTATCTATATATTCAATTTGCCAGAAAAAACTGCATTCTGGAAGTTTAAGAACATACCCCTGCCTGAAATGGCCATTTTTCAGAATAGTTTATTTGTGGAATGATTTATTACCTTTCTCTTTGCCATCCCACTTAATGTGCTCCACTCTGCTCTCTGTAAAAGTGCTTCCTCCATAATTGGAAATCCACCTGTGTGTATGACTAAGTCTTTTTGGCTTTTATTTATTATTTGTGTTGCAGCAGTACTTAGAGGTTTTATTTATAGATATATTTACCTGTATTGGTTATGTGGCTATATATAGCTTTTATTTCTATGATCCATGTTACAAGAGTGACTGAATACGTGGCAATAGTTAATGTAGCCTTACAATATGGAGTTATTATGACTAAGGGGCTATTATTCCACATTTTACTGTTGGAAAACTGAGAAATAAAGGATCCATTTATGCAGGTCCATTAATGGTTCTCCACGGGAAGCTCACAAGGGTTGCCCTAGGCAAGATCCCTGTATTGGTAGCCACACTACTGGCCTTTTTGGTGGTTTTGAGAATGCCTCAGGTGTGTCCATGCTGTATGTGGCATCCTTGGGGATAAGATCTGTCCCCCAAGTCCTTGGAGCTACGGCCCCTTTAGCCTTTTCCGTAGCTCTTTGCCCATCTGCCT